AGAGAGATTCTCAAAGTCTCTCACAACACTGCAAGTTTAGTCGTTTGCATCGAGACGGCCCTTAGACTCTCTCTCTCTCTCTCTCCAGTAATTTCCTCGTGTCTAGACCCCTTCAGACACCCAGGGTGATGGTCGGAACTCGCCCTGGATTGCGGAGTTCCCCAGGGTGAGAGAGAGCCCGTGGTCGCTAGAGACCTCAGATTGTGTGGCCCCTGGGGGTGGTAGAGAGCTCCCTGGGGTAGTAAATGGCCCTTTGGGTGGTAAAGGGCCCCTTGGTTAATTAAATGGTTCATAAATTAGTAAATGACCTTGGGGGTACTAAATAGCCTTGGGGCAATAAATGGTCCAGTAAGGTAATAATTGGGCTTGGGGATAATAAGTGGCCCCTGGGGGAAAAAATATCCCAGGGGATAATAAATGGCCCTGGGAGATAATAAATGGCCCTGGGGGGTAATAAATGGCCCCTTGGGTGGTAAAGGGCCCCTGGGTGGGCGGGTCATTCCTCCCCCAGCAGGAGATGAGGCCAGCCAGCAGGTGTCGTCTCAGACTGTAAAACTTCCACTGTTATACACCCGAGATACTTAAATGTGGCAATATGGGTACACTGTCTCGGGTGAGTGGGCAGTGAGGGGGAGTGGGCAGTGGGGGGAAATGAGAGGGAGAGTGGGCTGTGGGAGGGAGAGTGGGCAGTGGAGGAAATGAGAGGGAGAGTGGGCTGTGGGAGGGAGAGTGAACAGTGAGAGGGAGAGTGAGCAGTGAGAGGGAGAGAGGGCAGTGGGGGGAGGGCAGGGAGGAAGGAGAGGGAGAGGCTGGGAGGAGAGAGGACAGGAGAGGAGAGGAGAGGGAGAGTGGAGGAGAGGACAGGGAGGGAGAGGAAAGTGAGGAGAGTGAAGGAGAGGGAGAGGGAAGTGAGAGAGGGAAGTCAATGGGAGGGCAGTAAGAGAGAGTGGGATGTAAGAAAGTTGCGGAGGAAGAGTAGTATAAATGAGAGAGAGTTTGGTGGGAGTGAGAGGGAGGATATGAGAGTGGACAATGAGAGAAAAGTGAGAGGGATGGAGTGGCTCGGTAGTGAGAAGGAGAGTGAAAAGTATATTGGAGAAAAGGAAGTGTATGAGGAAGTGGGGAGTGAGAGGGAGTGTGTGTGAGGATGAGAGGGAGTAGGAAGAGAGAGAGAGAGTGTGTGTGTGTGTGTGTGTGTGTGTGTGTGTGTGTGTGTGTGTGTGTGTGTGTCTTAATTAATATTTTTTGGGGAATATGCATATTTATATTTTTCGGGGGTGGGGGGGGTGATCCACGTGTTAGGTAAATATATACAAACACATGAGCGGCAACAGTCATTTTTTACCTTTATGTTTGTATATATTATATTTTTGGCTGTGTTTTATCCCACGAATAGTTCTGGCTGAGAGATATTATGGTCATTAGTGTGTGTGGGGGAGGTGGGGTGTGGGGGGAGGGGTGTGTGGGGGGGAAGGGATTGGTGGTGTGTGTAGGTGGGGGTAAAGGAAGTGGCATATAACATAAAGTAGAATATGTTGCAAAGAAGCAAGTGTATGTTGCTTGTATGGGCTATGTTGCAGGTATGGGATATGTTGCAGGGGGAATATGCTGCAGAGAAATCAGCATACGTTGTAGTACTGGCGGCTACTGTGTGTACTACCTGGGATACGAACCTGAAAAAGTTTTATTTGGTTGTAATTTTAAAGTTTTAACTTGGGTAAAAAAAAATATACTATGTAATGAGTTATTGTACTTTTGTGATGAGTTGTTGTACTGTTGTGATGAGTTGTTGTACTGTTGTGATGAGTTGTTGTACTCTTGTGATGAGTTGTTGTACTGTTGTGATGAGTTGTTGTACTGTTGTGATGAGTTGTTGTACTGTTGTGATGAGTTGTTGTACTCTTGTGATGAGTTGTTGTACTTTTGTGATGAGTTGTTGTACTGTTGTGATGAGTTGTTGTACTGTTGTGATGAGTTGTTGTACTGTTGTGATGAGTTGTACTCTTGTGATGAGTTGTACTCTTGTGATGAGTTGTTGTACTGTTGTGATGAGTTGTTGTACTGTTGTGATGAGTTGTTGTACTTTTGTGATGAGTTGTTGTACTTTTGTGGTGAGTTGTTGTACTTTTGTGATGAGTTGTTGTACTGTTGTGATGAGTTGTTGTACTGTTGTGATGAGTTGTTGTACTTTTGTGATGAGTTGTTGTACTGTTGTGATGAGTTGTTGTACTTTTGTGATGAGTTGTTGTACTGTTGTGATGAGTTGTTGTACTGTTGTGATGAGTTATTGTACTGTTGTGATGAGTTGTTGTACTCTTGTGATGAGTTGTTGTACTGTTGTGATGAGTTGTGCTCTTTGACAAGTTGTACTCTCTCACTACTGTTCTGTCAACGTTGTACTCAGCTAAACAGTACTTCACGAAAAATGCTCTGTTTAATGAGTACTCCATCAATTATAGATAATAACTGTAGACTACTATGCGAAAATTGTACTCTGGAAAAAGAATAATGTACTCGTTAATATTTATACTTTATAAAGCTGCACCAGTATACACACACACACACACACACACACACACACACACACACACACTCAAAACGCAGAGTACTACAAGATCAACACTGTACTCTGGGCAGGCTGGCTGGACGTACTCGATCACACATAATAACACAACAATTGGCCTAATTCCTCCAGGGTTTAGGGTCGTAGTGTAAATAATGGACAAGCTTCGCTATTCACTGGCAAAAAAAAAAAAAAAAAAACGTTTAATTGAAAATACATTTTTCATCTCTGACCAGCCCAACATTTTTCTACTCTCTTTTGTTGTTTTTGTTGTTATTATGATATTTTTTTCACATATATGTAAATTATTATTTTTTCTGTGTTATATGAATAATTTTTTTCGAGTTATAGATTATATGGTAATACTGGAGATGAGTTTTTGTGGCTTAACTACTGGGGTTTTTTTTTGTGTTATGTTATATAGGAGAAAAGTGTTTTGTTTATTTTGTAGTAGAGAAAAAAAAAGAACATTTGGATTGAGGGGGAATATTTTTTTTTTTAATGTAACTCCGTCTGTTTTAAGTGTACTGTATACCGCTGAGAGAGAGCGTTCCTGTAAAATTCAGATATATTGCATTAATAGTTAGACGTGAGTGTGTGTGTGTTTAGGCAAAGTCTAATGAATGCGTTGTTATTATCATTCAAATTAACCGTTGTACTAATAATGGTTAATTGCTGTACACTTCTTAGTTAACGAAGACCTCAGTGAATATTGTTTTTTGTTCTCAGTCAAATTTTAATGAGAAGAAAAATAATATGTTACCTGGAATAAAATTAATTAAATGTGGTGAAAAATATTTAGTGATTGTTGGAGTACAACACACACACACACACACACACACACACACACACACACACACACACACACAGAAAAAACCAACAAAAGTGAGAGAAAATAATAATAACAGAGCGAAGAGAGAGAGAGACAGGGAGAGAGAATAAAATACGGGCAGAAGGAGATACACAAGGAGAGATAATAAGACACTGAGAGACAGAGAGATAACGGCTTATATTAGTAACATACGGGTAAGGCCAGGAGAGGGTCGAGCACGCCAGCTATGTGTAATAAGAGTGATATTTTTACCCCACCATACATCACATACGCCCTTATGACTCTCTCTCTCTCTCTCTCTCTCTCTCTCTCTCTCTCTCTCTCTCTCTCAGTGTATTTTTCATTTGTGTGAGTCAAGGATGAGAGTCTGACTTCAGGATGTCATGTCATCACGAATGAGTCATAAGGTGAGGAAAGTCAGGTGTGAGTCAGACATGAATCATAGTGTAAGGTTGTAAGTCACGTTTGAGTTATGAGATGTAAGTTACATGTAATTTAGGCATGTCAGTCACATCTGTGTAGTTCTCGCTTGAGTCAGAAGAAGGCACATATGAGTCAGGTATAAATGAAGCATGTGAGTCAGATACAGACACATATGAGTCAGGTACAGACACATGCGAGTCAGATAGACACATATGAGTCAGATAGACACACAAGAGTCAGTTATACAAGTCAGATGTATTTTATATGTGTAGAGAACAAAGCAACACTTTACTGGCTGAATAAATGTTAACTTGATTGACTTAATCCTATTGGCTGGCAGCTTTAGCGACGTGGACTGACCTCTCCTTTATTGGCTAATTCACTGAGGTGACTCGGCAGGGGGGGAGGGGAGCGACACCTGACTTGCATCTCTGACTCACATCCCTGACTCACATACCTGACTCGCATACCTTTTCCACATACCTGGCTCACTTAGGATATTATATACTTACATGTGACCTGAGGAACTTAAACTTACATAAATCACCTGAGAGAATCACCTGTTTACAACCCCTTAACCATCCCATACTAATACCTTAACTTAATACTGTATCTTTAACTCGCTGGGTATTTAACTGACCGAGAATGGTAATGGATGCAGCCGTAACTTACCTGTATTTAACTGTAATTAGTATGCCAGGATGTGAAGGGTGAGTTATTTGTACGTAACCAGTAATATAATTATAGGTCCGGCAGAATTATCACACACGCACGCGCGCGCGAATTAAAAGCAAGTGATTATCTGTTAAAAGCTTTGTTTAACGTTAGGTAATGGATATTTTTGCTGGTGAATAGTGTGTGTGTGTGTGTGTGTGTGTGTGTGTGTGTGTGTGTGTGTGTGTGTGTGTTTACCCAGTCTTACACCAGTACTAGATACAACACAAACTTTATTGAACCAATAGTCCTTCCCCTTCCTCTCTCTTTCCTTTCCTCCCTCACTCCCTCCTTCCCTCTCCCTTCCCTCCCCCCTCCTCCGTGTGTCAGTTTATTACTGATCTTATTATTACTACTATTAATAGTATTTTTATTAATATTCATGTTTTATTATTATTATTATTATTATTATTATTATTATTATTTTTATTATTATTATTATTATTATTATTATTATTATTATTATTATTATTATTATTATTATTATTATTATTATTACACTGTAGGTCCCAACAGTTCCCGCAGAAGCTACATCGTTAAAAGTAACTCGACTCACCACGACACTACAAATGCAGGAATCTGATCCCAATTAAGTGTGGTGTGAGGTGTCTATTGTATTTGGGGAAGCTCGATTAAAGTCAGCATTCAGTAAACTCACTCATGGCAGACGCTTGGCTAAGGGAAGGAGAGGGAGAGAGAGGGGAAGGGCAGGCGTGCAGGGTGGGGTTCTCCGGGGTGCCTAATGGCTGGTATCTCTTAGTGTTTTGTTTGCACACACAGTCTCTCTTGCCCTTTGTTTGCTGTCGCGTTGTAATTCTGAACCAACTGTTTTTATTATTATTCTTTTAGTCGGAGGTGTGTGTACCCAGGCCATGACTAAGAGCGGTAACAAATTTGTGCCTGTATGCCATGCTTGAGGTGAATGTGTTGTAAAAGGTGATGCTAGTGGCGGTGGCGTTGGTAATTAATCGGTGTGTGTGTGTGTGTGTGTGTGTGTGTGTGTGTGTGTGTGTGTGTGTGTGTGTGTGTGTTGTTGACTGTGGCTCCCGCGCTCTTAATTTGATTGCGATGGTGTGTTAAAATGGTTCACGTGTGCCGTACTCAGTTGACACAGCGAGGTTGTAATAAATTGGCCAAAGTTTCCATTGTATTTCATTAGCTACAGTGCCTATACCGACCCATTTGTTGTTGTGAGTGACGGGAAAGAGCTTTTTGATAAATCCCTCTAAATTCTTGGCTTATTCATATTTGGTTCTAGGAGTCGTTCACAGTTAACGCACAACATATGTCCCTCTGTTAATCGATAAACTCACTCAGTTAATCGTATCCGTTGAGCGCCGCAAGTGAGAACAATTACTGGTGAGCACTGTAGCAACGGTTTAATGTATAGCAAGATGGATTACAGAGCTTCCACTGTTAGATTGATTTTCTGCAGTTTCTCCCCTAAATTTATCGCGTCTGATTTTGACTGCGTTGATAGTAGTAAATGTATAAATAGTAGTAGTAGTAGTAGTAGTAGTAGTAGGAGTAGTAGTGAGTAGTAGGACTAGTGAGTAGTATTGAGTAGTGAGTAGTAGGAGTAGTAGTGAGTAGTAGGAGTAGTATTTCAGTCCTTATTGACTATATGTCATGTTTTTATTCATCTCTCTCTCTCTCTCTCTCTCTCTCTCTCTCTCTCTCTCTCTCTCCCCCTCCCCCTAAGGCCACAATAAGACGGTCACATATCAAGCTGTCAGCGCTTAACCATTTTACGACAAGAGCCTCCACGCCAGTGTGTGTGTGTGTGCGTGCGTGCGTGCGTGCGTGTGCGTGCGTGCGTATGCTTGCGCGTGTGTGTGTGTGTGTGAGAGTGCATGCCCGTCCGTCCGTCCGTTCGTTCGTCCATCCATCCATCCATCCATCCATCCATCCTTACTCTCACGTGGTGGAGCTTATGACGTGTAACTTGCAACACTATGCTATACAGTTCTGACGCCCACAAAAGTAAATATATATATATAGTAAAAACTTGTACTCATCCACAAAAAATAAATAAATATAAAAACGTGGTCACTATTTCTCTCCCCCATTGAAGAAAATTCATGGATAGTGTTTACGTATTCATGTTTCTTGTGGCTCCTCTCACTCACTCTCACACTGTGGCTTTTCAGCGCCAGGGTTTGTGTGTAAGAGTTATGTCGACTCCTCTCCAGACTTCAGAGTTCCCAATATTGCCTCATAAAATACGGCTCTCTCTCTCTCTCTCTCTCTCTCTCTCTCTCTCTCTCTCTCTCTCTCTCTCTCTCTCTCTCTCTCTCAGTTAAACAGATAGTTAAATTTGTGCTGACATTTCCTGACGAAGTTATAGTCTATTATTATTATTATTGTTGTTATTATTACCACTTGCGTCTCTCATTAAGGCTTCATCACCTAAACACCACAAATTCGCTGGGAAGCTTTTTTGATATTTTTTATTTACCTCCAACTATTCATCCACAATCTGTTTCGAGTTCGTTACGACCGTTAATTTCGTTAGAGTGGAAATTTATTTTCAATTTAAAACCAACGGCGTACGGGGGAGAAGAATTGATTAACCGTGGGAGTCATTTGTCTCGTGGCGTTAAGAAAAAATAATGGAAGAACGACACGGTTGAACCTCCCCTTTGACCTGTTATTAGTAGTTAAGATAGTTTTAGCGGAGCTGACTGGGCAGGGAGAAGGAAAGGGAAGTGGAAGGGAGAGGGGGATGGATGGAAAGAGGAAAGGATCAGAGGAAGGCGGAAGGAAGTGAGAGACAGTAGATAAAATGGAGTGAAGGGGGGACTGGGCATAGAGGATATAGGGAGATAGCAAGAAGAAAAGGAGAGTAAAGAA